AGAATTGTTCACACAAGTTCGGATAAGCATAAAAAAAGATTTGCATACTGCATAGCACGAGTTACCAATACATGAAAAGTAACTACTACAAAACTATTTTTCCACACCACAAGGACTGAACGGAGCTATAAACCTGAAATTCATCACCTACATTTAATTTGCATTGGGCTGTGATGTTGAAGGACTTAATTACCTGTTCTTGTAAAACCTCCGTCATCTTCTCGGCGTTTTTACCCTGTTCTGCTATTCACAAAAATAAACGTTATGAAGAAACATTTGTTATATTTAATGTTGTAACAGCAAATTAAGAAATGTTTAAATTTCAAGCTGTATTTCATCAACACTTATCGCGCAGGGTGAAGACCAGGGCACTGATGGGGGTTAGTAGCTAGTAGGGATATATTTGTGTGTGCTGATCATCCCTACTTGCAGTTGCATTTGAGAGCTAAGCTGAACTGCGAAGCAGGCAGCTCAACCTGATCAAGTTGAAGGCTTTCTAAGGGCGCCTCTGGTAGCCACCTTATGACTCATTACGGAGCATAGCTATACGGTGGAAGGGCCGGTTTGCAGAGAGGAAACCAGGGTGCGCGGAGAAAACCCACGACTTTCAGCAGAGCGTTGACCGACTCTTTTCACATGAGTCCATAGCGAGAATCAAACCCACGATCTCCGAGGTGAAAGGCGTTTGCTCTGACGATTGCGCCACTAATCGGCTATTTACACCTGGGAAAGGGATTAAGGGAAAGCTAGCTGATTGAAAAGTTCATTAGTTATGGTGGACATGCAGGTGTCATGGCTGGTGGATGGACATCTGACTGATCTCGAAAAATATAGCGTACTACCAGGAGTGGAATGAACAATGATTTTGAAGTCATATGGGAAAGTCGTTTCATAAAAGTTCCAGATAAATATCTTATAGTATACCTTTCTTGCTAGTCCTACATAGCATACTAATATTAACAACCTCTAAAAGACTAAAGCTACGTTTACACACAACGATTAATCGGGCCGATTACAGGTTTTGCCGAATGTTAATGACGACTATTGTCAGTTGACGATGTCATCAGATGATGTTGATAGCATATTTTTCAAATATCGTTTAATTAAAGCTGAATCGGTCCGATTAATCGTTGTGTGTAAACGTACCTTAAAACAGATACTAAAAAGAAAAGCGTGGTTTCATCCTACCTGCCAATGTGGTCGCCAAGTTCACTTTACTGTTGTTAAATAACTCCAGGAGCCAGTCCTAAATGAAACATGGAATGGTAGCAGGAGAAATGGATGTAGAATAATTCATGGGAGCATGACAAAAACACAAAAATGTACCTCTCCTTTCAGCTGCTTCAGATCTTTCAAACATTGTAAAAACAAAAGATCCACTGCTTCCATCGCGTTATTCACGGTATGAAGATCAAGCACATCCTTAAATAATGTATTAAAGTTAGACTGATAGGAAAGTACTCACAAAAGAAATCTGATCACTACCAATTTCAGTACGGAATCCAGTTCCTATGCCGTGCTTTGGCATTCTACAAACTACCTAGATATTGTCCTAGTATAGAAGGAGGGTGGTGTAGGCACTGAGCTCTACATATATATCTGGAGCATGAATTTCAGTCATTTGGCGTAGGAAAGAAATGGAGCCGACACGACAGAATTGTGTCCAATCGCTATGAAGGACGTAAACAGTTTTACTGTAATACCAAGGCACGCTAAGTCACAATCGCATTTTTGTAAATTTCAGTTTGCAACTAGATAAATGGTGGCCACGCCTTCATGACAAACGGACCTCATAAACGGCGCAAAGTTACTAATTGTAAGTATTGATTAGTATTGGAAAGATATACAGCTTTATTTACAGTTTGAGGCATACGTTTTACGCATCGTTCGAAACACTCTTACAGCTCAAGGCCCCATGCCAAGACAGTCTGGCAGTATGTATAAAATGGTACGGCCGAAAATGGCTAGTGTGCACAATTCACTTGGCTTGTATACAATGAAATGAAGTGAAAATGAAGACAACATTTACCTCAACAATAAGTCGTGCTGAAAACTTTCCCAGTGCAGCTTTAACAATATCCGATTCCTTGTCAGATTTCGACAGCTTGCGAATATATGATTCAATGCCCTGCAAATATCAAACGAGTATGAGAGTCTGCGATTTGGCAAGATCCAACATTACGTGGAGTAGCAAACCCTGTGACGAAATGCGTTCGCTAAGAGTGTTGAAATCCCATTTACAGACTGATGAGAAGTACATAATACCAGTATATGTATTAGTTTGCACGAGAGTTTTCTCGTCTCTCATGGCTCGGTTATAAATCTAATAACCACCAACACTAATCAACTCTTATTGCCCACTTTAATCACTAGCTCTCATCGACTCTTACGATCTATGATCAACTCTGATTGATTCTAGTGGCCTCTCATAACCTGCATTAACCCTTCAACTCTCGTGCATTCTAATCAACTCTCATCCACTAATTAACTCGTCACCTGTAATCAACTGTCCTCAACACTCGTCGATTTTTAACAATGGACCATTCCATTCAATGTCCACCCCCACTTTCAAAGTCGTTTCTGAGGGGTTAAGCCCGTCGGCATCCTTTGATCTCTGCGATATTTCTGAGGGGTAAGGGGAAAATTTACAAATTTCTGAGGGATGTTTTGTGTCGGCACTTTGATCTTTTTTTCTCAGGGGTTAAAATTTTACTGACCTCGTCCATACGGGGGTGGGGGGTGGGGGTGGGGTGGATATTAAATGGAATGGCCCAATTTTCTTCAAAGCTCATTCCTTGTATTATCAATTGATTCCAAATCCTCACTTAGACTTAACCTACAATAGAAAAGTTCTATAACTTTTTAAACCTGTTTAACAGACCTTTGTTAGACTTTCTTTCGTCAACATCTTCTCATCAAAGCATTTTTTCAATAGATCTCCAGCTAAGTTTTGATCTTCTTCATTTTCTCGCATTATGGTTTGAAGTAGCTTGACTATCAGTGCTACTTTTGTCCTAAAACAATAGATGAGATAAACCGTTATTCCACAGAGGGAATTGAAGTATAGTTTAGTTTCTGCCAGCACATTTTCAACCTTCCATTTTTTCTGTTGGACCTGTGTTGACCCTCTGATCACTCATTGAAAATGAGGGTGTCCACCCTTTGGTGAAGGATTTTTCCAGGACTTTCAAGGCCCTTTTTCAGTAAATTCAAGGACCTGGAACTGCGAAACGTCTTTGAAAATGACACGGATTTGCCCCACTTTATTCAGTGATTTTAATCAAAATCACTAATGTTGGCACAGCTGGAGGTTAAGTAAAATAATTCCAGGATTTTCAAGGACTGCTACTAATTTTCAAGGACTTTCCAGTCCTGGAATTTTTTCAAAGCCAAGCACTTTCCAGGATTTCCAAAGCCCGTGGACACCCTGGAAATGTATATTTTAAAGTAAAATACTGCGGCTGTCACCATACTATGGCAATTACGATGCTTTTTTTAAACAACAGATTCTGTAAATTGTAAATATCCTATACTGTTCTCCATAGGGAATATCATTTTCGAAAATAACTAGTTAGTCAGGAACTCCAAACTATACAGTTCACTTTTACAACTCGAATACGAGTGTACAGTAGGAGACCATTCTTATATAAATGCGGGTCCTTACTGTGATGAGTTCAAGTCTTTAATACTCTTCATGGTTTCAGCAACATTTCTTGACTTTACAAACTCTTCTACTATTGTTACCTACAGTAAAACAAACATGGACCTTATCATGGGCCTTTCATTTGACATTGGGCATATACACTTCATCAAGGAAGGTTTCCATGACTACTGCATGTAAGAAGAGCTAGCCCTAATATGGGTAAACTGTAGTTTTCCCCTACAGATGCTTGTGCCATGTTTATATCAGTGTATCTTAAGATCTAAAAATTGGGACGAAAAGGAGAAGGCGATCAATATAGGAGATTGATATCTATTTGATAAGCATACCATGTTGTAAAGGCTTCGTCAAGACTGCAATTGTCTTAATGTTACGTTTAAAGTTTGTTACTATGTAGTATGCCTGCAATATTTTAGTCATTAAGGTGCGAGTAACACAAAATTTTATTTTATATATACTGTATATGTGTCATATTCGGCTAATGTAACATATCTTTACAATAAATGGTGGGGATCTTGACCAACTTTTTCACAGTCAAGATCGAGATATGATATAATTAGATGAATTTTTGGAGCAAATAAAACCTAATTTGCTTTTCACATATGACATCATGGCTGGTAACTTTGACAGTCAATCAAATCTAATATGCACACTGAATGTTTTATTTTATAAATAAACATGACAGGCTTAAATGAACAATTCCTATTGGATATATTCAATTGGATATAAGTAATGTATATGCAAAGGCGGAGCCAACTTGACAATAGCGAAAGTGGGTGTATTTCGTTTCTTGACGAATTGTTGGCAGTCCCTCCTTTCCCTTCGCATGGCTGGGAAGCTAAACTCGCGGAAAGGAGATACCGCTCGTAGTCGAACTCTCCCTCACCCTCAATCACTCCCATCAACCTTCATTCACTTTCATCAACCCTCATTCACTCTCATCAACCCTCATTCACTCTCATCGACCCTCATTCACTCTCATCGACCCTCACTCACTCTCATCAACCCTCATTCACTCTCATCAACCCTCATTCACTCTCATCAACCCTCATTCACTCTCATCAACCCTCATTCACTCACATCAACCCTCATTCACTCTCATCAACTTTGAGCTGGTTCAAATTTTCATGAGTGTTGATGAGAGTTTTTGCTCGCTTGGCCCGTAATATCCATTCACTCAACTCTTATCAGCCCTGACGCAACTCTTCTCGCTTGATCCGGGGCATGAGAGTTCATGCAAACTCTCGCTTCTCAACTCCCATCAACTATCATGGCGGGGGCTTTGATGGGGAGTATTGCGTGATTATATACTACTTTAAAGCAAGCTTACCACTAGCTTATCCGTATCAACTTTGGGTGCGGCAGGGGCTTTCTTGCTTGGTTTTGGCTTTTCGTTTATACCCGTTGCTTGGCCATTCTAAAACGATGAAACAAAATATGAAGATAGATTACTCGATGAGCTGTGTACGCAGTGGCAGGCACTAGGAAGGGGGGAGGGGGGGGGGGATTAGATTGCAAACATTTAACTACCATTTAGCGGGGTATCTTAGTACTTCAAACTTTTTAGGTCTAAAAATTATATACAAATTTTCGTTCGAAAACTTTTATGGATAAAAAAATGTTGTTACAACTTTGTCACACAGAGTTAGTCCGCTATTATTCAAAGTAAATGTTGACGTGTTCCGAATGTTAACGGGCGAGTTACTAAATTGTTGCTAGATATACTCGGCAAAGTTATTGATTTATTGGTAGATTGATGAAGTTAAGAAAAGGTAAAAGGCCCAAAAACAATACCACGTTACTAAAACACAATTAAGAACCCTATATTTACTATTTGAGCTTTATTTTGTTACATATAAATCAAAGTTAAGCAAAACAAAAAGTGCTCGAAAATTCTTGAATGAGCCCAGCGAAATGGATATTTTCTGTGAAAGCCAAACTCAGGGTTTTTTTCAGGATTTTCTCTTGGGTCCGTTTTGCAGAGAAGATTGAATTCAGCTGAACAGCTGGGGGTCTGGGGCAGCTGCGGGAGGCTGACACCTGTACCCAATAAGTGTAGTTGAGACGCAATGTGTTAAAGCAGACATAAACTGGCTAAAGATGGCGAATGCGTTGTTTTTCTTGTGTTGTGAAATGAATTCCAGCTTTTTTCCCTGATTGTCGGGTTTCCAACTGAAACTAATTTGCAGACGTCACGAATTTTACTCAAACAACTTCATTTTTATTGCACTGAAACTTTGGTGAGAAGAGATTGAGTTTCAAAACTCAATTCAAGATTGAGTTTTTGGGGTCGTTTTACGGTCCTAAAATATCCCTGAAAAAACCCCTGCAAACTGGCACTATATTTTCTTTTCTTTATACTGAGAGTCTCTCATTCTTAATTCTATTCTTCAACAAGTTATCATAAAAATTTAGTAGTTATACAAGGCCCACTAAGGGCTGTTCAGTGAGATCTACTTTACCTTTTACAGAATTCAATTTGTGTTCATATGAGAAACGATCCAGCCCGGCTAGGTGAGATCTCATTCTCGTGGGATAACATTCTTCATATGAAAGATTCATCCCACATGACCAGGACGAACATTTTTTTTGCCCATTTTGAATTATAGTCAATTTTGTGTTGAACAGCATCGTTGGAAAATACAAACAAAAACGACCAAAACAGTTGGGTGATTCTAGCTATAGACTAAACTTTGATCTGGGCAAGAAGAACAAAATCCAACTCCACAGCTAGAAAGAGCATCTTAGAATGAGTAACACTGCAAAGTCTGGTTGCTAAATGTTGTAAAATGAAGAAAATATAGCCCTGTGAAGTTCGCAAATTTTGTATATATTTGTATTACGTGCGGTAAAAATAACCACTTTCGGTTCAAAAATTGGTTCAAATTTTTCCAGGGCGTAATGCAAATATATACAAAATTTGCGAACCTCAGGGCTATATTTTCCTCATTTTACAACATCTTGCAACCAAACTTTGCAGTGTTACTCATTTCCAGTTATGACAATGAATTTCGTTCTTGTTGTCGAGATCAAGATTTCGTCTATAGCTGAAATCAACCATCGCAACAAAAATATTTCTTCCAAGACGCCATGTTTATATGTCGTCGGGGGAAAAACAGTGATATGAACACAGAAAGAACTCAGTCATCCAACTCAAGTGAGCAAAACAGGCTCATATGAACAGGCCCTAGCTCAATTAGACGGACCTATACTTGCACATTTATATCTAAATCTAAATAAATGAAATTCTTACGGTTTGTCTTTGTTGATTTGATGATACTTGTCCAGTACGGGTACCTAAGGAAGTTGGTTGGGCAACAATGGAATCACGAACTGGACGTAGACTTATCTGCAAAGATGAATATATACTTTAATATAGGTCCCATTCGTAGACAGGTGTGTATGTAGTTACCACTGGGGTTTCTTTTCTCCCCAGCCCTAAAGTTCACTTTTCCCTCCCCAGGACCTGTTTGCACAAAAAATGGGTACCCATAAACTGGGGCCAGTTGTTTAGTCATGCTATTGGGTCCTACACAACTATGGGGTTCTGGGGCTTGCTACGCTAGAAAAATGAGAATATTGTAAGTCGTCAGGGGGAAGGGGGAGGGCAAATGGTAACTATATATCCACTCCTTTACCTATTCTTCATGGGGAAATTAACCAACCGCATTGCTGACACTTTGAATTTGATACAAGTTTTGGACACTTGATCAAGTTTTCAAGAATCAGAGAAAAGAGCATGGGTATCGTCAACTGTTTGAGGGCTATTGGCACGATCTGATAATTAGTCATCAAATTTCATTATGATATTTTCTGTGTTGGTGTTGTGTACTCAGGTGAATATGATGTTTGTGATGTTACTCTGAGTGTATATCCACACCGGACAAGCTTGAAAAATATGCCTGGCCACGGTGGGAATCGAACCTACGACCTTTGGAATACTAGCCCAATGCTCTACCAACTGAGCTACGCGGTCAGATCGGATCGAGTATGTGATATTTCGGAACTGAGTCTAGTTCCTTCGATACCAATGCAATCTAGTAATATGATATTTTCTGTGTTGGTGTTGTGTACTCAGGTGAATATGATGTTTGTGATGTTACTCAGAGTGTATATCCACACCGGAGGACAAGCTTGAAAAATATGCCTGGTCACGGTGGGAATCGAACCTACGACCTTTGGAATACTAGGTCCAAAGATCGTAGGTTCGATTCCCACCGTGGTCAGGTATATTTTTCAAGCTTGTCCGGTGTGGATATACACTCAGAGTAACATCACAAACATCAAATTTCATTATGTTTTGGAAATGCCATAAAATGCGCAAAAAATGATAATTTTCAAGACTAACTAGTTTAGAATCATTGAATCTATTGTTTCAACTTTAAAGTTATGAAGTAGAGCAGATGAAAAGAAAGAACTATTTCACTGTTTACTGCCTAAGTTTTTAAAAAATTTTGTTGAGACAAAAGTTGGCGGTTGCAGATAGGCAAGTAGCCGGTCGTTTTGGTCGGAAACCGGCCCTTAATGTCAGGCCTGGATAAGGAACCTGGCTGTGCGGCGTGTGCGCACCTCCACCCTCACACTACAGTGTAACTCCATGTTTTTTCAAACCTGCCCATCTGCCATGCGACTTTTCTGGACTTGCACTCTGCGTGGTCTTCCCTCATTAATCTGCGGTTTCTTTGCTGCAGTCTGAAAATTTGGCATGAAATCTGGAGGACTGTTTCTCGCTCTCGTAGAACTGAAGTACGGATTTTCATCTCTCATTGAACGCACAGGAGGTAGTTCATCAAATCTAAAGGAAAAGCAAGGAGCGACGTTTACTTCTATGCATTCAAAATTTTGTCATTTCTGAGAAAACAAAAATGGTATCTGAGCACATGAGATGTTATTCATCAGGTGATCTCGGAACTGGGAAAAGGCCTGGCACTAGTTGTAAAATAGAAATCCATTTCTGGTTTAAAATTACTCAATATCTCATTAATTGACCATTTGCGTAATAGACTAAATTTTGATCTAGACAAAAATTTCATCACAGCTTGAAAGAGCATCACAAAATTAGTAATATTCCAAAGTTTCGTTGCAAAATGTTGTAAAATGCGGATAATATAGCCTTACGAAGTTTGCAGTTTTCAGTCATTTTAGATTACAAACGGGAAATTGACAGCCCGATACGCTTTGAGGCTGTCAATTTCCCGTTTGTGATCTAAAATGACTGAAAATTGCAAACTTCGCAAGGCTATATTATCCGCATTTTACAACATTTCGCAACGAAACTTTGGAATATTACTAATTTTGTGATGCTCTTTCCAGCTGTGATGAAATATTTGTCTAGACTTGTTTAGATCAAAATTTTGTCTATTACGCAAATGGTCAATTAACGGTATTAGATTTCTATCCCAAATTTGCCCCAGATATTCATTTCCCTGTGCAAGACACAGACACAAAGTTTCAAACAGTTTCACAAAAGAATCAGGGCATGACAAGTGATTAAAAGTACGAAACTGGATTTCTATTCTGTTGCTAGTCCCAGTCCTTTCGCACACCGTCAGATCACCTGGCAAGCTATACATTGTATAGCTAATATACATATTGTTCACTCGTTACTTACCTTCCAGGGAAAGGATGTCCTGCATCAAATGGACTGTCATTAATGCGCAAGTCACGAAAATCGTCCATAGGAAGGAACGAATCAAAACTCGAATCGGACATGAAAACATCCTCAAAACCTCGACCAGCGGTCATCTTTCCTCTTTTATTATATCTTGGTCCGTATGGGAATGCGGGCTCACCAGGGTGCATCATGCGTCCTTTCTTGCTCTATGAGTAAATAGAAGAATGCCTTTAGTATATGATACTTCAGGATCGCTCTACTGCCATTCCACGTTATTATGATGGTCGGTAAATATTGTAAAAAGATATTGGGAAAAATTGAAATGTTCTACCATACCAGGCGTGCACAAGACCTTCTGATCCAGGTTTGCAGTTAGCTGCAGTCACCAGATCACTCGGATCCCAACATTTGACATCCATGGATGGTACTTTTCGCATTCTTGGCGAAATCGTTTTCATTGGTGCGGCAACAAATTCAAACAAGACATTGCCATAATATGTAACAGCTTCACAACAACTCAAAAAACAATCTTGTTTCCAGAGCCAAAATGTGACCGCGCAATATGATTGGTGTCATACAAATTTGACCAGTCATATCAAGAATTTGACCAGTCATATTAAGAATTTGACCAGTCATATTAAGAATTTGACCAGTCATATTAAGGATTTGACCAGTTATATTAAGAATTTGACCAGTCATATTAAGAATTTGACCAGTAATATTAAGAATTGGACCAGTCATATTAAGAATTTGACCAGTCATATTAAGAATTTGACCAGTTATATTAAGGATTTAACCAGTCATATTTATGAATTTGACCAGTAAGATTAAGGATTGGACCAGTTATATTAAGAATTTGACCGGTCATATTTATGAATTTGACCAGTCATATTAAGAATTTGACCAGTTATATTTATGAATTTGACCAGTCATATTAAGAATTTGACCAGTTATACTAAGAATTTGACAAGTCATAATAAGAATTTGAAAAGTCATTAACCGGTGATCGGCCGTTATTTGAGCCCCGCATAATGTAATGAAACGAACAGCAAAAAACAGTAGTTTGCTTAAAATTCATGGAAAAATATCATATAGAGCATAAGAGCAACTTAGTTTACTTAAAATTCATGGAAAAATATCGTATAGAGCAACTTCGACAGCGAAGATGTTAATCAAGATGAAGGTTTTTACTACGGTGATATTAGGTGATATTAGTGAGCTTAAGCAAGCGACGCTTTTGTCAACCCGGATGTCAGATTGCCGTAGGTGGACTGGAATAAACTGTGTTTGTATTAGTCTGTGGTGGTCTTCAACACATCTGACAAAATGCAAGATATTTAAAGATTTTTGCTTCCTTACACGAACGCTTTGATGCAAAATGCCGTCATATACCAATTTTCGGGTGATGTCCCGGGTTGACAAAATCGCCTGCTTAAGGTGGCTCCATACACTTTTCATCATCGGGGGACTGGTACCTAATCTTGAGTTTTCGCGCGAAAATATTAAAAATATATGCAAAATAAAAACAACTTTTTCAGTCAAAAATCCGAACCACAAGTCATGTATATTTTGATGTTTTGAATCTTCCTTGTTCTCATTTGTTTTCAAAGAACAAACTTCGTCATGATTTAGCTCTGAACATCGAATAACTAGTCTTTTTAGAAGCCATTTAAAGGTAAAAAATGCAATGTTCAACGTTCAAACTCTTGTGAAAACCGGCGATCGGCCCGACCGACGAAAAGTTTTTTACTGCAATATTTGGCGATTTATAAGTTCATATCCAGAGTTTTTTGTACTTACAACTGGTAAATGTATTCAAAGTGTTACTAACAGCAAAGAAATTCAGTGAAACAGCATCATGCGCCGGTTAAATGTTTTAAATTGTCAACAACAACATGAAAACACACAAGTTACGACTGAAAACGAATATAAAACTATGTAGAGAAGCCAAAAACTTCATACATGTCACACATATCTTATACCAAACGACACAATCACCTGTTTTCTTGGCGTTATCCCGAGTTAGCATGCAAAACTAAATATATTTGGATTTCTAAGCAAGAAAACACAAAATATATTTGATATTTCGACGAGACTAAAAACTTTTTTGTGCGTGTTTTTCTGGAGATGCGCCTGCGAAAACATGTACGCGCATGTCAATTCATTGATCTTGCAGAGCTCGAAAAACTTTCGGCCGAGCGAGTGAGATACCACAATAAAACGGCGTAATTCAAAATTTTGCACGGTGACATGTGATGAAATTTTGCACAACGATAACTTCTTTTAAAACAAATAGAATATCAAAATTTTAAAAAAATCTGTAGATTGGAAAACTTTAAATCCGCAATTTTT